ATGTCAACCTTCTGCCACGTGTCAAAAAAAATTTGACTTGTCATCTACATGTTTAACAGGTTTTACCAAGGGTTTGTGTTGCACTACTAGCGACATAAGCTCAATCTGGATTCTAGTCAACAATGACCCCATTTTTAATTGAACAATTTCTGAATTAGCGTTGCTATAATAATAACGTCTTCCTGTTATCACTGAACAGATTAGACCTGCCCAGAATGGAGAAGTGCGCTAGGATTCCATCATCCAAGCGGCGTAACAGGCAGCAGCGCGATACTGCAAGCCATCACTTATAGTCTCTCCTGGCTAAATTCGCATGGCCAAAAGTTTGAAGAGAAAGATAAATTTGATTTCTTGCTCAAAGCAATCAAGAGTTCTGCGATAAGGTTCTAGACAGTCTATTATAGAAAACAGCTGAAAGGCTTTTAGGTGCTCAGAATTGTTTTTTACCTCATCTTATATATAAAGCTGAATGTCTGTTTGTATGTCTGTATGTCTGTCTGTATGTCTGTCTGTATGTCTGTATGTACGTATGTTCCGAATAGAAAATTCCATTTCTGAACCGATCGGGACCAAACTTGGCACACATACACTTTGGGCCCCGGCGAGTGTCATAGGCTACTTTTCGTCATCGATCGATATCGATTTTATCGATTTTTATCGATTTTTTTGCTGAGTTCACCTACGGGGCTGGGAGTTGGCACAGGGGGGTAATCGAGCATGGGGATTCCGAATACAATATTGGTTTTCAGGATTATCGATTACTTTTATCGATTTTATCGATTTTTTTGCAAAGTTTGAGCTACGGGGGTGGGAGTTGGCACAGGGGGGTAATCGAGCATGGGGATTCCGAATACAATATTGGTTTTCAGGATTATCGATTACTTTTATCGATTTTATCGATTTTTTTGCAAAGTTTGAGCTACGGGGCTGAGAGTTCGCACAGGGGGGTAGTCGAGCATGGGGATTCCGAATACAATATTGGTTTTCGGGATTATCGGTTACTTTTATCGATTTTATCGATTTTTTTGCAAAGTTTGAGCTAGGGGGCTGGGAGTTGGCGCAGGGGGGTAATCGAGCATGCTGATCATCCCCAAGGGGGGTGATCAGCATGCTCGATTACACCCCTGTGCCAAATTCCAGCCCCCTAGCTCAAATTTTCAAAAAATCGATAAAATCGATAAAAGTAATGGACGATCTTGAAAACTAATATTGTATTCGTAATCTGCATGCTCGATTACTCCCCTGTGCAAACTCCCAGCCCCGCAGGTCAAACTTTACAAAAAAAATCGATAAAATCGATAAAAGTAATGGACGATCCTGAAAACTAATATTGTGTTCGTAATCAGCATGCTCGATTACCCCCCTGTGCAAACTCCCAGCCCCGCAGGTCAAAATTTACAAAAAAATCGATAAAATCAATAAAAGTAATCGATAATTCTGAAAACTAATATTGTGTTCGGAATCCCCATGCTCACTTCCCCCCTGTGCCAACTCCTAGCCCTGTAGGTGAACTCTGCAAAAAAGATCGATAAAAATCGGTATAATCGACATCGATCGATAACGAAAAGTGGACTGTGACACCCGCCGGGGCCCGAAGTGTATGTGTGCAAAGTTTGGTCCGGATCGGTTCAGAAATGGAATTTTCTATTTGGAACATACGTACACGGGTCTAGCTGGCAGGCCCGGCGGAGCCGGGCAAGCCAGCTAGTTAGAAATAAATTCAAAAAAAAACAAGTCAAAATGGGCTAAAACGTGTCAAATTTTTCCTGACACGTGGCGGAAAGGCAGTCTTTGTAGAATCTATGAAAAATTGTTCTTAGACTAAAGAACGTATTTTATGAGAGCCCTTTGAAGAAATGGGTCCGGATAACGGAAAAGTACCGCATAGCTTGTTTCTAAATAGGATAAGGTACTGTGCAAAAAAACAACATGTATGAAGGGTATTCAAATTTTTCCACTAAAACTAAGCAGAGTACTTGGTGTTTGGAATCGCGAAGGAAAAACGAAAAAATGTGAATCCGTAGTTGGTGATATTTATATAGTGGATAGTATATGAGCAGTACTCAATGATTTTCAAAAGTGCGTAAGAACTTAATCACCGCATATGTGAATGTTTACTATGTAGCTATAGAGATTTACTTTTAACCTCATGATCATAGTAATCAAGAGCACCGTATATAAGGGAAGCAATTTGCCTAATATCTATCCTGCGCTCAGCTTACAATAGTTAGAATCTTCTCTTAATTCATCAAATTGTCTTTCTGTAATCCTCCTTCCTTCGCATTAAAGTAGTGCCAATGTCTGGGGCTAAGAATTACTGTGACCATTCTATGGCATAGTTTCATATAGAGACATACCGCCTCTAAAACTAGGCTGCTCGCAGCTTTTTGAGAGCTAGGTATAAGTAAAAAGTACAAGTATTTGCAGCATTGAAGTCAGAGAAAACATCAAGAGCGTTTTTAAGCTCGTTGTAACAATTTTATTCTGATCGGCAATGTCTCACCAAAACTGAAGTAGTGGGGGTTCCCGCATAATTTGTTGAAAGGCTTCCTATTTAGGCCTGTCACGCGGACAAGGTTACATATCAGTTGTGTTAAGCTAGGTATATAAAAATGGCCCGCGAAGGGTGACTTGGCGGCACTGGAAGATTCGCGATTTACCCCTTTTGCGTGTAAACACGTTTCTCCAAACGACATACTACTTAAGTGTTTGACCCTAAGGCAGAGGCTAAAAGGCGGCGTAGTAGAAGTTTCAAAAGCCTAGCCGCCCCTACTTGCAGGGGTACTTAGCACCTCGAAGGAAACCTCAAAGGGACAACCTTCAGCAACCTTCACAAGGTCGAAGGGCGGCTTCATCCATTGCTCCGCCCTCGAAATGCGCTTGTTCTGAGTTTTATAGGCACTGTATAAGCAGGATACCACATGCGGACAAAACACTAAGTCTTACTTTCAATTACTGATTTAATTGAATAGCCATGTACTAAACTTTCTGAGTTTGCCGATCCACTGCAGCACGATCCAAAACCGACTGATTGAACATGTTTGCAAACCCTTTTCATATACCCAGCTTGATATAACTGATATGAATTTCTTGAATCATTCTACAGCCTGTGTCAACGATGCGCTTCGTTTTCAATCAACTCAAGCGCAACGCTAATGGCACGCTCCGCGTTTGCGGGCGTATGGCGCGTTTAAAGTTAAGAAGGCTTCACTTAGGAGCTACTGTAAGGGTATTGCCGTCGCCGCGCGTAGCATGCAAGCCTACATAAGAAGTTGAAAGTGGATTCACAATAATCCAAACAGTACTCTTGGTTCATCCTAAATTTTCAGTTTGAATCAAAAATGCCTCTAAACATGATGATGTTGTAGATGTTTTGTTTATGCGTCAGCATATATTTTTGTTGTTAAAACTTTTACTCCGGCGTGCCTCATTAGGCGATAAGCGCCCAAGAGAGTGGCTGTGCGCGATCTGGTCCTACCCTTGAAGGCACCGTCCACCCAGATTTTCGTCCTCCATGTTTTGATCGTTCCGGGGCCTTCTCATGTCCCTGATTCCGATGAAGTCGAGAATCCGTGTGAAAACCTTCAACTCCCCGTTCCGAGGATCCCGCAGGCCAGCTTTCCGGAACGGTGATTGGCTGGGCGCGGATGGGAGTGCAAGGATGGTGAGGGCGGTGCCGTCTAGAGGTCCTCGTGCATCTTTGTTATTCCGAAGCAATTTTCTCGCTTCCGAAGCGACATTTTGCGCCCCGACTTGGGCACAGGCTTGAAAGGGGGCCCTACTATCATATGCTGCCAGCAGCTCAAGATCCTCAACTTAGGATGAACGGTACCTTTAAGGTGATTTATGATAGCGGATCGAGCAGCTATCAAATAGATAACCTCAATGCTGATCAAACTGCAGTTTGAAGTTATACAGATGCTGTTGTACATACAGTCCGAACTAAATAGTTCTACAGTTGTACTATCTTTTCGAGCTCTTCCTCAAAATTTGCCGCTGTGCTCCTTGTCATAATCGGGAATCTCATAGAGTTATCATAGTCACATCACGTGTAGCTAAAATGACGATGTGTACCGTAGAATGTGAAATACATTCAGAATAATTAGATTCTCGATAACAACTATATAGTCGAACATTTGTTTTCATCTGACAGTTTTTTCTTGATTTATATTGAAATGAGAAAATTGTGTCGCATTAATTTTAAAAAATTACGAAAAGTGACTTTATCTGATTTGCTTACAATGGATCCTTCAGAAAGAAGGTTTTGCAGTTCTAAGCGCAAACGTCAGCTCTTCGATAGCCTCAAGTCGCATGAATAGTCAAAAGTTATGATTTTGAGAAAATAATACAAAAGAGCAAGGTCAGCTTGCCACTTTTCGAAAGCCAGAATGAGAGGGATGTGGGCCTTATGCAATTTACTGTCGGTTTTATCTTAAGGTTTCTGTTCTTGGCGGGCTTGGGACATTAAAAACCCTTGGGTATTCCTAACTCCCTTCACTGTGCAACCCATTATAGCGAAATCAAGGGCATTTGAGGTGCCATTGCAAAGCACATAATGTTTTATAATTCGCAAAACTGACACCAAGCGGAACCAGGGGGAATAGAGAATGGTTACGATTTTCCAAATGGTGCAACAAATTTCTGTACCATCCTAAAACTCAATGCCTTGAAAAGAAGTTTATGAACATAACAGTGATAATTGTATAACAGATAGATATATACAACGCAGGCACAGACTCATAATCAAGAGACTATAACCCAAAATTCTCAGTTGTTTTCAGCTTGGCTAAAAAATGAATAACTTGCTATCACTATTCCTGGTGGCAGTCGCGTTTGCTACAGTGAATTGCAGTACATTTGGCAATCTTCAATTCATTCTTGTGGTAAGTCACTCCTAAATGTTAAAATCAACTTCCAAAGTTTTTTTATTTTGGTGCTCTGATTACTGTCACAAACACCCCTATGCTTACAATGGCAGCTGTTGGTTGGGGTGCATTGAAATGTTAGAAGACGTGTTCTCGGAAAATCCATTTAACTCCTCGTTGAAAGTATTGCTAGAAAAAAGGAGAAATGCCTTAACACCTCATCGATTTTGGAACTACCGTATGGACGTTCAGGTTCGATCTTTTTCTAAATATATGTGATTCTCTCAGGGGTAAATCGAATGTTATTATAGTGCGAGTATTTGTGTAGCGATGTTGGTAAATGTCCAAGTCGTTTCCAAAACGTAACGGAATGCGTCCTTGAATGCTTGGCTAACCGTGTTTTTGAGGAAGAGGAAGATAGGAAGAATTTCTTTAAAAAATTGGAAGATTTCTTCGGCTTGTTCCCCTGCTTCATCAACTCGGAATTTTACCACTAATTTGTCGCAAAACATAAATATTGCTTTGTTTGTCGGTACATTACGCAGAAATTCTTGCTAATTTATTACAAGAAGGCAAATCAGCATGCAAAGTGATCTCGAGCATATCCAATACCGCTCGTAATTTGTGAAAAAAATGCGTTTTACAGTAGACTGAAGCGACAACCGCGTGAGTCGCGCAACAGTCGCCTGAGTTAAGTGACATCATCGGTGCTTCGCTATATCTCAGTTCAAAGTGGGCGTGTTTTGAATCCGAGGACATCACTCAACTCAGTCGGCGCGGCGCTCTTCTTGGAAGTGAGGGCAGCTACGTGTTAGGTATACGGTAGAAATTGAATCTGCACGGAACCGCTTGAAATTTTGCGTGGGGGGCTTATTCGATGTGCTCATCAAGTTCCAAAAAAAACCGACAGTCCTTCTGTGGCCAGGTTTGAGCACCCAGTCTTTAAAAAGTTTCAACCTAGTTTCGATACTATGAATCCTGAAAGCAAATATATGGTCATGCACAGTACGATGGTACACCCCATTTCAATAATCTCAGGGTTGTTCGTACGTAGGAAGGAAGTGGGGATAGAGTGGACCAGGAAAATATCGATGAAGCAAGTCCAACAAAAACCTTCTAAACACTGTCCAAGCTTCGTTTTTGCTTCCTCAGAAAGGAACACGATGCCTGATTAGCGCGGGAAATCGAGGGCTTTGTAACGCTTCAACAATATTTTCATATCTGTTGTTATGAAAAACTGTATATAAATTGAAAATTTCAGTGCTGTGACGGAAGAAAATTGTAAGTAAGGCTTCAACTTACTATCATAAAAACTCCCAGATGTTTGATAGATGTCTAAATGGTCAAATCTACGTCGCAGTGTTTCGTAAAGAAATTCTCGTTCTGTGCGACAAAAGAAACTCAACAGAGAAACTCAACACTGACAGAGATATCCCATTCAGCGCACCACTGAATCATGCCTTCTATGGAACGCTGTAAGGCTCCTGTCACAACGCTGCGATTCTCATAATGTAAATACCAAAATTTCAATGTAGCCGCCGACATTAGTACATGAATGTTAGGATGTGTCCATAAAATTTTAGGTAGTTCTGCAGCGTAGATAATAAAAGAAGAGGTGAGAGTGCTCCTTCTTGAAGAAGCCCGCTGAGACATAGAGATTCTACGTCCTTACCAGCTTGGACAATCAAGTATTTGTCGCGTAGTTAAGAACTAAGCTGATCAAAAGGAGCTTCTTTGACGCCGTAATGTTTAAGCTTGAATAATAATTTAGACACTTATACGGTCAAACGCCTTGGACAACAAAGCAGATAATGTCAACTTCATGACCATTCTTGCTAGCCTCAATCCAGTCATGTGTCTGCTCTATCAGTCGAGTAACGGTAAATGCACCACGCAGGAAAATGCTCAGAAATTGCAAAATTGAAGTAATTCTCTTTGTGCTTCTAACTTTCCTATCTCATACTAATCCGTGAAAGCGGCGCCACTGTAATGTGCAAAAATTCTTTTTTGAAACAAAATTACTTCCAAGATATTTCGTGACTCTGTTTGATAAAAGTCAGTCTTGAGTAACTTCCTTCATGCTTCTAACATTCGAATTTTCTTATAGTAATACAGGGTAGAAAAACTTTTGTGAAAAGAATGGTTTTCTCTTTCAAAAAAGAATAATTTTGGGAAAATCCATTGGAAGGAAAGGAGGTTATGATTTTTCAAAAATGTGGCGAACGTACTTTTAAACCCACCTAATAGTTGCAACCAAATCCGATCAAGTTCAGTTACTCGAAAAATCAAAAAATCGAATTTTGGAATGTGCCGATATTCCAATATGATTTGAGTAGTAAGAAAATCAGAAATTGAATGTTTTAGTTCGTTCCTTCCGAAAACCAATTAATCGATATTCATTCGTTCGAAAAAATTTCGAAAGTCAATTGTTCGATATTCGTTCATTCGAAGGAAATTCTGTTACAACCATACAGTGGTATAAGGTGCCGCGATCAGATCCTTCATGTTTTTGTGCATACAAATTGAATAAGATGTAAGAAACATGTATCAAAAACGCTTGGAAGTTTTGAACTGTCACATCCGCAACAAGTGTTCTCGCACTTATGGAAATAAAATCAAAGCTTGAAGGATATGTGAGCTGACAGTAAGTCAAAGAGTTTATAATTTGTTTCATGCAAAGTAAACTTCCTAACAATTTGACAACCATGATGTCAGTACAGTAATTTGAAAAAACAATAGTACAAATTATTCAACGTCCCTCCAGTTCGTCTTGAAAAAAATTAAAAGTGAGATAGTGAGGCTGATTACCATCAGAGGCAACTATTGCTAGCAGTAATGTTTTATTTAACTGAAGTAGGAATTCAGCAGTTATTCGGCCTAAACGCATAGCGAAGCAACTGCGTAGCCACTCGCACTAAATGATAATTGTCAAATACAAATCCTCCTCTTCCATGAAATAATCAAGCAGATATTTGGCATAGCTCGCCAGGAAGACCTAAAGAGCTCACGACTGAACTCAAGAGAAGCAACTTTAAGTGATACCTCTATCATAGTTTCGAAAATTGAAATTCTTTTGGATGTACAACTATTGAATTTGAGTCCAAAACCGGAAATTTTGAGCATCCAAACGCCAAATAATACTTGAACTTCACAGGCTATTCGAAAATCGATAATCAATCGACTTTCAAGTGAAATTTTTTAATATTAGCAAGCGTGGCTTGAAATAAAAACCTGCTACAAACGTTATAGGCAGGCATCATTGGACGAGCACATTGATGGCCATTAACTTTTCAACTTTTTGATTAGAAAACAACACTCATTTCAAATGTTCAATTGCATAATATTTTTGAAACCTGGAAATGAGAATTCTCAAATATTTCATATGCATCTAAAACCTCGGTATTTCGAACGTACAGATTTCCTAATCATTGCGTTTGACTGTTATTCGATCAAATAATTTTTTATTTGGTCCAAAGTATAGACTGACCGATGTCTTCTATTTCACTCATTTTTTTCCCGGACAATCTGTAACACTGAAGGGAGCTTATGTCTTTTTTGGAAATGTCGAAATTACTCTCAAATTCAGCTCATCAAGTGTCCAAAAACGAAAAAAGAAACTCGGAGTCGCAACTCTGACCCACTGTCTTCAGCTTATAAACGTGGAAGAAAAAACGACCATTAGGATCAATGTTTGCTCTACTGCTGAGTACGGCGGAGCAAATCTGGAGGCACCGGCTGGCGATATTTCAGCCTAAAAACACGAATTAATCCAGCAATTATAAGGAGTGAAAGCTTTCTGTAGAGTTTAGTGTTGGGACTTTGGCACCTATCAAAGGAATGCCTTCTATTAGGTTGGTGCAAAAGTAAAACGCGTTTTGCAAGTTCTCACTTTGAGGTGCTATAACTTTCTAAAAAATCTTTTTTTTTTAACGCGGTAAGGAATGTCAGAGGCACCAAAGCTTTCTCAATACAGCGCACATCTTCCTATACTCATATCACCAATGGACAGAAAAATATGGATTGTTAACCGGAAAAAGTTTTTTTTCTAGAACCTCGTCTTCAACTGGTCATAACTCCCTTGAAAATTTGTTAATGTAAATGATAAGTAGTCTTGTAGCCGTAAGTCAACAGCACAAATAAAGCTGGAAAAGTCTTGGACGAAAAAGGTTTGCAGGAAGAAAAAAATTAAAATCCAAAATTGTCCATTTTTTGGACATTTTTTCGCAGGCCTAAAAATCCTAAAATATGGGGTCCTTTGATTTTCTGCGTAATGACAGCTACACACTGTAAAAACTGTCCGTAGGAGGCCCACCCTTATGCTTACAGAAATGAGCAAAGCTTTGGCGATTGCCCTCCTCAAAGGAAATTTATGGGATACAGAATGATCAAAACGACTGTCCATGTTGAGACGCCTAGATCTCAGTCTAGGTAATCTCTGAGAAAATAGTAAAATGTGATGTAGACAATTTCCATTGAATACGGTAGCTAGAGTTTCAAAAGTTTGCCTTTATTCGGGCCTGATTTCTGGCCAGAAAAGTAGATGCAATGAAACGCTGGTTTCGAGTGCGGTTGTGTGAAACTCTATTATTTTTTAACTAATGGAGCTAGAAGCCCGTTTTAACCACCATTGGATAGAGGATGAAAGAAGCTTCTTGATAGCATGCTAAATTTTCGTCAAAGAGAAAAATATGATGGAGAAAAGTTGTCCTAAACCAAGGGCTAGAAAAACGAGCACTACTTTTGCACCAACCTAATATTCATGCGAAGAATATGAAAGCAAAAGACCAGGTCAGATATCATGCGTCTAATTCTGAGAGAACTCATGCCCAATTTATTAGAGTGTAGATGATAACCTGGAATATCAACTAGTGTTCCGCCACTCACACGACGGAAAACCAGACGGGTAAATGTGTGTTGAACTCTTTTAATTTCCATTATATTAGGTTGTCCCGAAAGTTTTGTCGGTTTTTTCCATCGCTCACTAAAACCTACAGAACACCAATTCAAGGAAGGTTTAGGTATCATTTGATTCAGATTTTCATCCTCTTTCTTACATCTATGTTTGTTCTCTGATTTACCCTGTCTTCGCAAAGTTATCGCCATGGATTTTTGAGCAGCTCAGCAGTAACGCCAAATCTTTTCCGAATTTTAAAAAATTTTCTCCTACTTCTTTTGAAAAGCGCTAATAACTGTTATGTAGAGCCATTCTTCGGCTACATTATACTTATTTTAGATTACATGGGTCACGTTTATCAAGTCCTAAAATAATTATTTATTTAAGAAAAATCACGGCTTTTTGATTACGTTTACCACGTAAAGTTACCAAAAATTCCAAAAAGCTGTTTCAAAGCAAATTAAACTTGGTATTGTGTCATAATTATTGTTTATCAACAATCAAGTTTTGATTCGCAAAAATTCCGAAAGCTTTCATGTTTTTGCCGCAGTTTCGTGTTCCATGGTTTTGCTAGAAATAGAGACCTCCGAAAAAATAATTCTC